TAGGTAATGTGAGAAATCTCTGACATGGTTGTCTTTTGTGGGGGGAGGGTAGGAATGTGCAGAGCACACATTAAGCCAATTGCTTTTAACACAAATGGGCACAACTCTATTGCAGTCAATGGAAGGGTTTGCACCTAGGGGTTAGAGCCACAAGGGATTTGGGCACCTGCCACTTTAGCTAACTAGATTCTAAAACCAGACTCTCTAAAACCCTGTTCAGCTGCTGCCTAACTCTGGAGGTGCTTTAGGTCTCTAGGCACCCAAGTTTCCATTGGTAAAGGACCTACGGCACCTAACTGGCTGCTGCTGGGCATGTGCACTAATTCCAGAACCCAGCTCATGCCTAAGCCTCAAACTAGGGGTGTCCTTACCAGTAGGGTCCTGTCTGTGTTAAAGGTTATAAAGGCACCACGTCTGGCTTGGGGGTGGTTTTTTTTTTTTTTTTTTTTTGTTGCAAGAAAGAGCATAGGAACCTAGCTCTAGAAGAGGGGGACATGGCTGAACAGAGGGCAGTGCCTTCCTCTGGCCCAGACTTCAGTGCCTAGGCCCAGCTATTGAAAGGGGTTTAGGCCTCTAACACTTAAACACATTTGAGGGGCTCAGCCCTAAAGACCTTTGCCTCGGTCCTACTGGACAGCTTAGATAGTGTCCCCCTCCTCCCCCACACACACACGTGGTGGCTTCTTAGGCCCTGTAAGCTCCCTAGGCATTGCATGGTAAAATTTTCATGGTGAAAGCTACATGAGGTACTCTATACTTTTACTTTTCAAATACATGTTGCTCATAGGGTTGACAGGCGTTCAGTTTTTGACTGGAACACCTGGTTGAAAAGGGACCTTGGCAACTCCAGTCAGCATCACTGACCCGCCCGTTAAAAGTCCGGTTGGCTGCGCAGCAGGGCTAAGGCTCCCTGCCAGCCCTGGCACTGCGCAGCTCCAGGAAGTGGCCGGCCTAGCCCCCTCTGCGGTGGCGCAATCAGGAAAGCTCCGTGTGCTACCCCTGCCCTGGCTCTGCAGCGCCCACTGGTTGCGGTTCCTTGCCAATGGGAGCTGCGAGGATGGTGCTTGTGGGCGTGGGCAGAGCCCCCTGTCCCCTCCACCTATGGGCTGCAGGGCCATGCCGGCCGCTTACGGGCATTGCACAGCATCAGGGCAGGCAGGGAGCCTTAGTCCTGCCCAGCTGGAGTCTGCTCCTAATCCCCCCCTACCCCAGGTTGGAATGCCCTCCCACACCTTAACTCCCTCCCAGAGCCTGCACCACTGCCCCAAACCCCTCATTCCCCCAGCCCCAGCCCAGTGAAAGTGAGTGAGGGTGGGGGAGAGCAGGCCATGGCGGGAGGGGCAATGGAGTGCGTGGGGGGAAGCAGACATTTGAGGAGGGGCAGGATGGGGGGGGCTTGGAGAATGGGGCAGGGTGTTCAGTTTTGTGTGATTAGAAAGTTGGCAACCCTAATTGCTCATGGTACTACAGGAAGTAACTAAACCCAAGAGCCTCACAGCTCATATGTACATCTGAGAGCTCTGGTGTAATGATTGGCAGATTAGTTTTTTTTCCCCTCTACCGTGATGTGAAAAATACACAGCTTGGTTTGTTGTAACTGTTTTCAGCTTCAGCTGCTCAGTGACCAGCAAAACTGCAGCTGAAATTTCCAGCCTTGGTTAAGCACCAGAATGGCGCATTACCCACCATTACTTAAGCAAATTGCATCATTCTAAATTATTGCTTCCATGCCTGATATACAGATGTGGCTCACTGAGAATGAGAATTCCAGTGTGGCTTTTATAAGTGTCTATAAAAGGCTTGTGTTGTTTTGTGTTGCAAATTGAAACCTTCAGGCTGTATGGTACTTCAATGACTCTGTGTCTAGTGATTTAACAGTACTTAGCACTTACATAGCACTTTCATCCCTATCTCTTCACAAACCTACTTTTACAGATGAAGAAAGTGAGACAAAACTTTCTTTTTGTAAAGAAGGATCTCTGCAACCACATAAGTATCAATCACTGTAATATTTGAGACCCTTCATACTATAGCTCTCCTTACCTCCCCTGTGAGGTAGGGAAGTACTACTAGCACTCATTTCTGTGCTTTTAAGGCTTTCAGAACACCCATAAAGCAAGAGAAACTGTGTGTTGGGGGATGGGGGAGAGGAGGGTGTCATCTTTCTACAGCTGCAGGTAGCCTGAAATAGTAACTAAGGCATGTTTGCAGTAGAGGTTTGTACCTGGAGTTAATTGACTGCCAGTTAGCATGTGTATAAAGGCTCTTCTGGACCCTCTGCAATCAGCTGTAGCTCAGCCTAGGCTTATCCCCCATGAGTTAAAGTTACAAAACAGCCATACCCAAGCACTAGACAATGATGTATTAATCCCACTCAGTGCCTTATGAAGTCCGTAAGTCTAGGATGACTATAGGGCATGTTTTCAAGGTTTCACAGAATTTGTGACTGTTGCAGCTGGGTACCCAGTGTTTATTCTATTTATCTAGAAGGCTCTGTTGTGGGGGGGGGGAAGATAGATGGATTATTTTTGCACTGTTCCCTAGCTAGGGCTAGGTCCAAAAAGGGATTTAGGTTCCTTAACCCAAAATTTAGATCCTCAAGACCCCTGCTCAGCCGCTAGCTAAGTCCCACCAGGATTCTCAAGTCAGACTTTACCCCACTGCACCTATTGCACCCAAGGAACCCAATCCAGTAGGCCAAGGGGATAAAAGGTATCCTTTTGTAACCTTTACTTACTGGTTAGAGTGCTCACACACGAGAGACCAAGGGTCAAACCTTGTCCCTACTCTGTATCAGGCAGAGTCTTGAACCCAGGCCTCTGACTCCCTGCCGTGAATGCCCTAATCCCAGGCTATGGTTTTTCCAGGTGAAGTTGTTCTACCTTATACGAACAACTTGAATAATCATTGGCCCAGAAGGCAGGTGAGGAAAATGACTCTGTAGCCTGGTGGTTAAGGCACTCACCCCCTTTCTCAGCATTCCCTAGTGACTACTTAGGTATGGCAGAGGCACGTTCTGTTAACAGACGGCTGGTCTACACTGGGGGGGGGAAATCGATCCAAGATACTCAACTTCAGCTACACGAATAGCATAGTTGAAGTCGAAGTATCTTGGATCGAATTACCTGGGGTCCAGACGGCGTGGGATCGATGGCCGTGGCTCCCCCGTCGACTGCACTACCGCCGTTTGCTCTGGTGGAGTTCTGGAGTTGACGGTGAGCGCGTTCGGGGATCGATATATCACATCTTAACGAGACACGATATATCGATCCCGGATAAATTGATTGCTAGCCGCCGATAGGGCAGGTAGTGAAGACGTACCCAGAGATTCTTATAGCACTCAAGTAGCTAAGACCCATCCCTTTTGAAGCAGGTGGTTCTGAATCATTGTTTATTAAATGAAATAAGCTGCCCCCCTCACCTCTTACAGCTACCTTGGAACACAGTGCTCCATGATGCAGCTTGAAGGCAAAAATGTATTTAGCTCACAAAATCTTACTTTGGAAGTTTCACTTTATAAGGGTTAGTCTGCACTAGAGACTTGTTAAGCTTAAACTGTTGGAGAAGCACTGGCATGGCCCAATAGCCAAGCTGTTCAATATGCTTCATCCATTATGGACAAAATCTCATCTTTTTCCTTAGATTGTGAGTTCTACAAAAACATCTCTAAACCTAAGAATTTTAGACTATATCTTTGCTATGGTATGGTTAAAAAAAAAACCCATAAAGGGGATTATACTGTTAGATTACTTTAGAACCCAATTGGTTTCATGCCAACTGACTATTATAAGACATTTTGCCAAAGGCTGTTAAACTTGGAAGAATTTACTTTGTTGAGGACAAATGACCAAATAGTGGGAGAGCCACACATTCCTGCCACCTGCTATGCAACCATCTTCTCTCCAGCCCAACCCAATCACTAGAAATCATGGCTACTCTCTTCCTTGCAATATCAGGTCAAGTGCATAAGACACCCCTTTACTCACCTAGATAGGCCAACTGCATTGTGGGTAGCACCATGTAGTTTGAGGCATGACACAGGGCAGCCTCTGTGGGCAGACAGGCCAGCCATTGGTGGAGCCTTGGCTACCCCCTCACCGAGTCTCCATGGTGGTCTAGTGGCTAGGATTTGGTGCTTTCATCACCATGGCCTGGGTTTGGTGCCTGGTCAGGAAATTACACTCTTCAACAAAAATCTAGGGGAGCGATAGCTCAGTGGTTTGAGCATTGGCCTGCTAAACCCAGGGTTATGAGCTCAATCCTTGAGGGGGTCATTTGGGGATTGGTCCTACTTTGAGCAGGGGGTTGGACTAGATGACCTCCTGAGATTCCTTCCAACCCTGATATTCTATGATTGTAAGTCTTTGGGCAGCATGGGTGAACCAGCATTTGTGAGTGGGATGTGATTTACCTCAAGTATGGGGCTGGTGAAGGTTATTGTCCCTCATCACCTGCGTGCAAGAAGGTAACAAGAGCAGGTTGTATCCATCTTGTTCCTACATGCTCCCAAGGTAGCACAACAACATAATCCTTTAGCTGAGTCTTGTGGCAAGTTTGAAACTGAGCCCTCACAGAACCGGAGAATGAGCCAATACACCATCAGTTAAAGTAGTGGTAAGATATTGAAGTTAGAAGCAAAGCCCACACACCTGGATTCCATATAACCCTAGAGTATCTTTATTTGTTCTATAATTTAATAGTACACCTATAAAATAATTATAGCATTTCTTCATTTTTTGTTTTCATTTATAAAACAAGAATTAAATACAGTTTGAACCATTACAAGCTCTACTCAGTTTTTACATACAAACAGCCCCACAGAGGAGCTTCATGCTGCAGCATATTCATATTGCAAGTTGGTGAGAAACCCTGCTTGGGTGTAGCTTAATGATAAGCATTCTTGCATATTTTTTCCTTAAATAATTGTAGAGTTAATATAATTAAGGAGGGCCCAGGGCATTTCTATCTAGTTTTAACCACAAGGGCCTGACTTTACAATCTCTTCCTTCAAGGACACATTCATAATCCTAGAACCCAAATGGGTTGCAGGCATTTCAAACTCCCTCTGTACTATCAAAAAACTCCCAATAACCTGGATTCAGCAGTGCCCATTCATACGGCTGACAGCGTAGCAGTAACAGCCTCTAAAGCGAGCCCTGGACTAGGAGTTTCCCTTGGCAGCTCTGACATTGTGTAACAACAAGGCAGAAAATACATGCAATGTAGCTGTAACAGGGTAACATACCTACCCGATCCCACCCTCCCCGTGCCAATCCCCGTAAACCGATTGGTGAGCTCTAGCAGAGATCAGTACCAAAAGCCTCTTAAAGCAGCCTGCCTCGCATAATAGTGAACTGTGCCATTGAACTCATAGCTGGCAACAGTTTGTAACACTTTTAACCCTTGGGATTGGTCATTCCTGAAGACATTGCCAGAGAAGTGCTCCACAGGCTGGTTTCATTAGCCCAGAAGTATTGCAGATGCTAAGCTATAAGACATGCAATAAGGTCACACATTAGTCTCTTGTATTAGTTGGTGTGCTCTTTGATTAACTTACTGTGTTTAAAGAGAAGACATTACAGCCACTAGTCTTAGACATCTGAACTGGAACATACTGAATATACAAACATGCTAAACTTTGGTGAGTGAGTAACTTAGTATGACTTTAAAATATCCATCGACATGGATTCATTATACCCCTATATCAAAAATGTAATGGGGCAACACTGCTGCAGTAGTTACAACAGCTTATTCCCTCTCACTTTGTAAAGGAGGGGACAGAACCCTTCCTCATTTCTGTAGCTGTGACCCCATTCTACAAGCATTTGCTAGCCTGCTCTTCCTTCAACATGACAAAGGTCACTTGATTCCCATTCACTGTGTGGAAGACGCCACTCCCGACACCTGAAGAAACTGATACGTAAGGCAGCTTTTGTATTCAAAGCAACAACGACTGCAATCTGTCCTTTGTGCTACAATGCTTTAATAACTTAAGTGGAATACTGCTCCCACAAGTGTTTTAATACCCTCCCCCCCACCCTACCCCACATAGGTATAAATACACAGTAATAACTGGATGGGTTTTGGAACATACTAAGGCAGAATCTACTGAAAGCCCATTCAAAACCTGTCAGTTTGCTAGGTCAGTCACCTGACTTGAATCAAATCTATTTGCTCAAGACACTTTAATCTAATCTTCGGAATATTCTGCCAGAAGAAAAATATACATGGCTAGGTCTAATAATATTTTAAACAACTTTACTATAGCTAGGTTACAAAATAAACATTGCTGTAGAGACTGTGTTTGATATAGTCAAATTGCAACAGCACAAGAATCCATCTTCAGTCTGCTGATGGAAAAGCGGTGGCTGCTGAGAGAGTTGTGGCCAACCTAACATTCCCTCTCCCCATGCTCATCTCCATCTCAGACACAGAATGGCTCTGCGCTCCATCATCCTACAGTTAGAGTTCTCTCATGAGGCTCGCGGCCTCTCATTTCCTTTAGTACTCCACTGTATCCCATAGCTGCACCTCACAGCTGCAGCTGGCAGCACCAAGCGCTTAAATATGAAGGTGAAAAGCTCCAGACTGAACACTGAGTGAGACGGCAAAGGTAGCGAGACACATTTTCTTCCCCCAGAAAGGACTGGAGTGTAGGGCAGAGGGTTTTTCCCACATAGTGGAAAGGTTAATGCTGGATTCAGCCATCGGTCACCTAGATAATCGATCCCAAATTCGGAGGGTCCTGCTCCACCCTTAAAGATTCAATTTTAAGAGGATTATATTGGAAATATGTTGAGGTTTTATGGCAAGGTGCCTAACATAGCCCAGAACAAGCTTTATTTCCAGTAGGCAAATGACAAGTGAGCCTTCCCTGCTAGAGAGATGCATCCTGAAGGAAGAAAACCAGACAATGAGTCTGCTCAGGGAAGAGGAGAGACAGCAGCAAATCCGATGGGGGTGATGCCAAGCAGTAGCCAGATACTTGCTTTCACTGTTTGTCCGAGTTGCTGAGGTTCACAGACATACACCTGCACTGCTTGACTTTCTGGATTTTCTTGAGTCGGAAAGGTGGATCCAGCTCAGGGCACTCCAGCTCCACAGTGAAGGAGGTGACTTTCTGAGGCTTGCAGAAAGCACAGGACTGGAAGGATTCCTCATCCTTTTTCACATGCCGGGGGATATAGAAGGAGTTGCACTGGCCATAGCAGAAACGGTTGATGATGGTGCGGCTTATGCAGCCCTCCTCGCTGACAGTCTGCCGCAGGGGTTGGGTTTTGCACCAGTCACTTTTAAGGTACTTCCTCTCAGTGACCACCAGGGCCTCCTGGCTGGAGGCCAGTACTTCTTTGTTCAGATGCTGCCTCCTCTCTGAGTTGTTGCTTGTGCTGTCTTTGTAGGGAGATGGAATTGCTCCTGCAGGACGGTTTTTCCTGGTATCTGTTACTTTAACCAAGGTCACCACCAGAAAAACAGATAAGGCAAGTTTCCAGAGCATCCTGCAAGAATAATACAAGTGAAGGTTAGAAGACATAACACTTCAGCACAATTTGCCTTTATTTTATCTGCACAGATATTTGCCCATCCCAGCAACAGCTAGACAGTGTTCACTAAGAGTTGTAGATATGGCTATTGTACTCTTCATTCACCTTAGGAGAAAAGGAAAGGTTTTCAACTTGCCATAACTTAAATCTGTTTCTTCTGCCCCCTTGAAGACATCCCTGCCATCATGTCTAAAACATGGTAATGAAGAAATGAAGGGACCAGTCGATTATCTAGTCTGACCTCCTGCTTAACACAGGCCACAGAATTGTATCCACTTACACCTGTATTGAGCCCAATATACAGATTTCTTTCCGTTGTATTCAAGTCTACACATTCTATTAAGGGAGCTGGGATATTATGACTTTTGAAATCTGTTTAGTTCCCTAGGAGAATGGCTACTTTTTTGGGCTCATTGGTCACCAAGTATGCCAGCAGGATGGGTTTCTGGCCACTGGGAGACACTGGAGTAGACTAGTATTGTGGTAAGTGACAGTACCTTTGCAAGCCAGTTTGCTTAAGTACTAAATCAGAGGAAACTAAGTGTCCACTGATATCTATGGTGCTTTAAATAAATGGCCTATTTTCAAAATGCTTAACTTTCAGCACATTAATACGCAGATGGAGACTAGATAAAACTCTTGGAAAAGATTCTGTGCAGATTCACCATCAAGACCACTGGATGTCAATCCTGGTATCCAAGCCAAAACCTAAATCAGATAGTTACAGTCCAACATTAGTTTCAGCTTAATATAGGTGTCCCACACTTCCTCAAACTGATCTCGCATTATCGTGCACTTGTGGCTGCACTCCAGTAATGGGTGAAATCGATCCCGATGGTTGTTTATGAACATGCATTCTCTGGCTCAAGACACATATACAAAGCCCCCCAAACAATTACAAATTCACTTCTTACAGAAAGAAAGAAAGAGAAAACAGACCCACTCCACTTACCCTCCCATCCTCACCAGAAAATAATAGCCACAGCACGACTACTTGAGTGAGGAGATCCATTTCGACATAAGTTACAAACTGTACAGATCAGTGAGCTTCCACTATAAACTAGATCATTGTTAGTATCAAATATTGAGCCAATACTATTTAACAATAAAAATCACATAGGGATTCAAAACCCCTTCTAAAAAAAGAAGTGGCATCAAGAGCTCAGTGCAACTGTTCAGAGATTTTAAATGCCTGATTCACCTTCTTCCTCCAGAAAGGGGTGGTGTAGAAGCCCCATAATACTGTAGGTCTCTTCCAGCCCTACCAGTTCTGAGAGTCTATGAAAAAAGGCATGAAATTATAGTAGCTTAACAATTACTGAAATAGCTTCTACCTAGAGAATGAGGGCCATTTGATGGAATAATAAGCCAGTATTTATCCAGTAAATCCATGTTTATAACTAATAAAGCATTATTACTCAAAGCCACTATTGTAAGGTTATCAGAAACTGAAATCTGCAGTACATGTAACCAAGTATTTTAGTAGTCAGGTATGCACACACCAGTTATTTCTATCATTTGATCCCTATCAAATCTGGATTTTTAGATGTTCACAAAGAGTGTATTACTCTGTCCTAAACTAGTAGGTCAAAGTGTTGTGCATCCTTTTAGATCATCACATTTCTAATCACATGGGTGCCTCTTCAGAACCATGCTAACCTGCAAGTCGCTTCCTCTTAAAGCCAGACACCGTAAGCAGCACAAACTGTATTCACGAAAACAAAGGTACATACAACCTGGTGACAGAAACATTCCATGGACTTCTGTAACCACCACAAAAAACACCCTCAATGAAAGCACAGAAGCATTTTGGAGAATTCTTAAGTGAGCTTACTCCAAAGGTGCAAAAGTAACATGATGAATGTTAAGTTGATTTTCTTTCTGAATAGGCTGGGTCCACTGAATATAGACTGCTGGCAATAATGGGCCAGAGCCTCAGACCCAGTTCCATTCTACCCAAGATTCACAAAGGGGATTTAATCTGGCCACAACTGGCCAGGTGAGAATTCCTCCAGCAAAGCGGAAAAATCTCAATTAGCATAAAGGCAGTGGAGCCCATCTTCACACCATCCTTACCTGCAGCATAGAAGTAGAGCAGTGGTAAGCTTCCCTATGACAATTCCTAGAAGGCATAAAGCCATTTAAGGACCATAGCCAGCTGTTATAAGTGAAAGCAGAAGCCCCTACAATGCTGTAACTTACATAAGAGCTGGAGCTAGGGCACCTTGACAAACAAGGAGCTGTAACTTGTTCCCTGGCCAACCCATTGCCAAGTGTGTCTTGGTGCAGAAAAGAATTGGGCCCCGATGTCTTTGGTTCTGCTGCATTTCTATTGCATGTGTTGAATTTGGAACTGTGAGATAGCGGACAATAGAACAATAGATCAACTTTGGGGTCTTATAAATACCCTAAACAATCATGAAAACATATGTAAATCATGAGAGATTTTTAAAAAAATGTTTATAGCTACAATGAGCTACGGAGTCATAATATTCCCATGGAAAATAAGCCCTGCCTTCTAACAAGAGATCAGGCCTTAATCACATGCACTACAAAAAGTGAGCTTTGGAAAGACACAAAGTTTTGGCTTCTAGTGATTTGTCTTTAAAATAAAAAGAGCCTCCTGACTTTAAGCAAGTCAATACAGCTTGTAAAGTCAGGATCCTCCTTTGCTATTCAATTGTCATGGCATTTTGCAGCTGTTAAGGAGCAACTACTGCAGGAATAATACAAACTTGGAAATCACTGAGGGTATAACGTGTAGGCGGAGACCCCACCCTGCTGCCAACAGAAGTCATATTTATTGATTAGAGGTTAAACATCACCTAGAAAAATATAATCATAATGAGTTCTCCCCCAAGGTTGGCTGCTACCATCAGTGCCCACAAGAGTTCTTAAGCGAGGACTCTTATGGGCACATCTCCTAAAATCTAGCTCCCTTTGGTAGAAGGCTAGTCCCACCTCTTGAATCTGTGGTGAGGAGGAAGAGAGGAGTTTAATAAGCCATATCTACTCCAGTGAGTTAGCAGGAATGAAGGGCTTGTCTACACATGCAGCACTGCAGCTGTGCCACTGCAGCATGTCTGATGAAGATGCTGTAAGCTGACAAGAGAGAGCTCTCCCATCAACATAACAAAACCACCTCTGAGAGAGGTGGTAACTAAATCAGCGGGAGCAGCTCTCACACCGACATAGCGCTGCCCACACCGACGCTTAGGTCAGTGTAACTTATGTCACTCAGGGGTGTGTTTTTTCACACCCTGAAAGTTATACTGACAAAAGTGCTAGTGCAGGCACAGCCTAGTAGCAGCGATTTGCAGGATTCCAGCACTTTCTAACAGGGTGGGACAACATCAGACCACTTCCGTTCTATTGTTAGAGGGCTACAGGAGCAGCTTGTCAGGAGAACAAGCATTTAAGCTTGAATATATTTGTAAGACATGAACAATGCTATTAACAGCCACTCCGATTCAGTGAAATTCTAGCCATTGAAGTCAATAAGCGTTTTACTCAGTGAGGTCAGGTGGTCACCCATTTATGCTCATCTGTCTCTATAGGCTTCCTAGTCCCATGGCACTGGATCTTCCGGAACCTTGTAAAGGTTAGTTGACAATTAAGGTTAAGTTATTTGTAACTTATTGAAGTATTCAACTTCGCTCTGTAGTGAGTCAAGTACAATACATGCAGCCGTCTAAGAACTTCCAGCTTACATATTATACTTCGAGCCGGTCAGAAATTTTCCAGTGGAATGTTTTCCTGGCAGACTATACTGATTTGGCAATAGCAACGTGGGAACATATTGATTTCAACATTTCATTGGACAGATGTCGAGTTTCCTGTCAGCTTCTGCTACCTGCTCCTCAGCAGCTCACCTGGCAAGACCCAGCTCCCCCGGCAGTGGTTTTCCCACCTTGACAGCTCCTCATTTCCTGGCAGGTGAGTGGGCAGGCTGCCTGGCTCGGTCTCCTAGCTGAGCAGGCATGTAGCTCTTCCACAAACACCTCGGAGATATTTTTTTTCTGAAACCACTATTGAATGAAAAAAAATCAAAATTCTTCAGCGTATTTTGTGGAATAGAAAGTCCTGTTCCAGCTCAGCTCTAATTATGTTCTGTAATCTTAAGAAGTCACATTTAAATTGGGATGATGCAGCTAAGAGGACAAATTCAATCCTTGGATATATAGGAATGGTAATAACAAATAGCAGTAGAGAGGTGTAATTACCTGTGTGTGGGCATTAATGAGACCCATAATGGAATACTGTGGCCAGTTCTGGTGTCTGCCCTTCAAAAAGGCTGTTGACAAACTGGAAAGGGTTCACCAAAAAGGCACAAGAATGATTCAAGGTCTGGAAAAGCTTTTCACGGGTAAAAACACTTAAAAAAAGGACTGATTTGTTTAGCTTATCCAAGAGGAGATATGATAAATGTCTATTCTATAAATACATACCTGAGCCCTGTCCAATTTATCAACATTTTTCTTGAATTGTGGATATCAGAACTGGACATAGTAATCAAAAATCAATAACACCAAAAACAAAAAAAAAGATTAAAAAAAAAAAAAAAAAAACACACCACACCCTCTATTCCTACTTGAGATTCTCCTGTTTATGCATCCCAAAATTACATTAGATCTTTTGGCCACAGAATCACACTGAGAACTCATGTTCAACAAATTATCTACCACAATCCCCAAATCTTTTTCAGTCACTGTGTCCCACTATAGAGTCCCCCATTCTGTAAGTATGGCCTACATTCTTTGTTCCTAGTTTTATACATTTACATTTAACACTATTAAAATGTACATGGTTTGCTTGTGCCCAGGTTACCAAGCAATCCAGATCACTCTGAATCAGTGACCTGTCCTTTTAATTATCTACCATCCCCTAATTTGTGTGTCATCTGCAAACTTTATCAGTGACAATGTTACATTTTCTTTCAAATCACTGATAAAAAT